CAGGCTTAGTAATCTTCAGGACTGTGCATCCAATCAGAAATTTTACAGTGAATCTGATAACAAATATGACCCTCCAATTCCTGATTTGTCTATAATTTCATATTATTTACTCTTAGAAAACCAAAGACAAATTCTACTGAAACAATAAATAAATAAAATCAACATTTTGCAAACCCAGAGGCCAAGGTAAAGTGAATGCTCAGAAAGAGACAGCAGTAAATGATCAGGACATGGAACATCACAACCAATTTAAAACACAATTTTAAAAGAACAAATGCATAAAATAAATATTAAAGAATTTAAGGTCTGAATATTTCAAAAGCAAAAATAGTAAATACTTTCTTTAAAAATCCTTATAAATTATTGCTTAGTAACTTTGGGGTTTTAATCTTTTTATCATAACAATTTCAGCCATCCTTGCTAACTGTTCAGCCTTGTTACTGTTTATCCAGGAAATACCCCTAACTCCGAGATGTAGGTATTACATACACTTACATTTGTTTTTAACTTTAAATGGATACATAGTCCAGTAAACTGGCACTGTAATCCAATGGCTTTTCTGTAATAAGTATATTCCCCTGTCTTGGCAAATGGCATATGACAACAAATTCATGACTGGACAAAGTGATATAAAAACATTTTCTATTTTATGTGCACTTCTCAACCCACAGACTCCATTTATTTTGTGCAGCAATTCCAAAATACAATCAGAGAGACACTAGTAAACATTTAAATTTAGACTAGCTTTTCAAAACTTTTAAACACTGAGATTCAAGGCTCACTCTGAAGCTCGTTCTTGGGATCTTTTTTAAGCTTTTCTTGGCATCTCATTTTCACGAACCATCTGAGATGATTTGGAACACATCAGAAAATATCACCACCACTTCCACAAAACAACTGCGTGGACAGTGCTTGTTTCTACATCCGTCATTTATGGAACTCTGGTTGTGGGAATAATTTTATTTTAAGTGTCAATACTAAGAGATGGTATTATTGGACTTGGCTGCCTCACTTTGTAAATGTAGTCAGCACCTACTCAGAAAACAGCTTATTTTTAATATTTGGAATAAGACACATTTCCAGTTGTTATTTTTACAATTCTAAAGAAAAGCAAAAATTAAAAAAAAAAACAACACTTTTTTTTTGGCGGAATTATTAACTTGATGTCTGTGTAGCTTAAAGTGGCTGTGTAAAATGATGTTCTGTGAATTATTCCTGTGCTTTACGCCACCCAAAAATGAGGCAAAGCTTGTGAATCTACTTTCAGAAATATTGCTTCCTTCTTCATAGAAAGGAGACGAAGCTAAGCCTACATAGAAGATTGAGAAATTTCACACCTTTAGATATCAATTCCTGAACTCTTTCAAATTTCAGAATTTTTCAAAATTCTTAAAAATTAACATATTTTTGCTCTTTCTAGTAGTATCTTTAAGTAAATAAGCAGAAGACATACATACACAGAGTCACTGTATTTTTTATGAAAGGTCAAAAGATATACAATCCCATTCATTCACTCAGTTTCATTGAATAAATAAATATAATGCATCCATTTAAAAAACAAATTTGAGGACTTTAAAGTGATACTGGAAAATAATTATGGTATTTTGTTCTTAAAAATAATCATTTAAGGGCTGGGGATTTAGCTCAGCAACATAAGCACCTGCCTGGCTAGCACAAGGTTGCAAGTTTGATACTCGGGACCAAAAAAAAAAAAAAAAAAAACCAAAACCAAAACCAAAACCAAAACACCTTTTGGATCAAATACATTTAAAATGTCCAGAAATATTAATAATATATTACTATTATATATCATTAGTATATTACATATTATTATGATATTATGTGCTATATAATATATAGCATTATTATACACATATTTATGAATATCTGGCCAGTACCTACTTATGTTGCTCTTAGCTCTTTTGGTTCTGTATGTATACAACTGAAGAGGAACATGACAAAATAAATTCTTTCTAGGTGAAAAGATGCTGGAGATTTTCATCTTAAGAGCATTTTCTTTTCAATTATTTTATATATTTCACTAAAAATATTTCCTAACATTCACAGTAGGGCATAATCACACCATTAATATCATAATTCAACCAGGAAGAGCAACAATTGCACTTTATAGTTCTGATTCACATATTTGAACAAATGACTAGTGACTAATTTTAAATATCTGATGCTCTCCCTTGAGGTACTAAACAGTCCTGAGCCTCCTTAAGTTTGAAAACAGTGGAGAGGCTGTGTCCAGGGTGGCATGGCAGCAGACAACGTACTAATTATTGTTACTCTCCTACAATTTTGTTTCAAAATTTTATGTAAATGTTTTTCATTTTTTCTTTAAAATTAAAAAAGAAAAGTCTAGAAGTCAAAATAGAGTATTTCCTGTGATCTTCTGTTAGGTACCGTCGTGTAGTAACCCCTATAAATAGCCTGAAAATTTCAAGAGTTTATATGCATCAACTTTACTTTGAGCCCCCATTTTTTTTTTTTTTTGTATTTCTTCTGAAGCTTTAATCTGTGTAAAACTTGTCTTTTAATTAGAAGAAAAATGTCTGTAAAGGAGTAGCACAGCTGAATATAATTTGGAGTTTGAATGGTGCTGAAAAAATATTTTTTATTCTATGTCAGTTTGAAAAGAAAATGGTTTTGACGTTGGCAAAGTGAGGAATTTTTTGTAATTCTACTTGAATCACATTGTGAAAATCCACTTAGAATTTTCCCTCAGTTCCCAAAATATCACCACATATTCTGTGAGCCATTGGCAAAATGGTTCCAGTTTATAAAGGCATTCTTACTACATTGAGATTCTGGATGACTTTTTCTTTAAATAAATTTGAAACCAAAAGTGACATCTACTGTACTGAATATCTTTAATGGTATGGTTTAAATTTGTAGCTTGAAATTCCTAAGTTCAAAGAACATTTATCTATAGCTTGATTTTTATGCTTGAAATTTCCTATGCTTCACAGCAGTTTGTAAAATATTAGGAGGACAACCCTTCCTTCTAACATTCCTGGCAATTTTCCTTATACTTCACTAAAATATATAGACACTTTTAATGAAAAATCAAAATTGTATACCTTTTTATTGTCTTTTTAATTATGTCTCATTATCATGTACATATTGTTATGCTTATACATGTATACTTTCAATGAAAATTTTGAAATATGAATATACAAAAAGAGTAAATTCAATTTTATTATAGTTATTTGAAAGAATTATTTTACTGAAACTAAACCACAATGCTGAGTTTAAAACTAATAATGGGCACAAAGTTGTGCCTACATTTTAATACATATTTCTGTTATATTATTAATATTAGTGCACTGGTAAACTACCTGCATAAAAATGTTTATGTAATTTAAAATATTGTCAGAGACTTTGTGTTGAAAGTTTTTAACAAGTGCAAAACTCATTTGTAATCAAATTTTTGGTACAGCAGTGTTTAAATATAAATTTTAAAGTACAGTAAAAATAGTTACAGATAAATTAGAAGGTAAAAATCTTCTGAGTGATCTCTTTATTGGAGTGAACTTCTAATATAAAGTCTTGGAGAATCAGAATTATTATCACAATTAATATTATCACAATTAATTATTATCACAATTAATAAGAATATATTTTGACGCACATCTGAATAAACAGAAATATATAAATTTATTTGTAAAAATGCATACTTTTGCATATAAGTAATAAGAAACATTTTGTTCATATTATAAAAATATGAAATTGCTTACAAGTTAATATTCTATTTAAATGATGTCTCATTATATATTTCTTTACTGTTGGTATTTTATAAATTTACAAGACTTTGACATTTATTTCTTTTTTCTCAAATTTGAGGAAAATTAATTTACAATTTCTCTTCTTTTTGAATCTCTATAAGCATTGTTCATGTTTATCTTGTTCCGTATGCTGCAACATAGTGAACTACACGTGTGAAATTTCAAGAGAAATTAAATAAATTTCATACATATTTTTACACACCATATAAAACAAATATTCTACATACAGAATGAACACAAAATCATTTGTGAATTTGAAAGGATAATTAGTTATTCTTCTGATCATTTGAATAATATAAGGAATCCAATCACAATCAGTTAAAATGAGATGAGGTCATACCTCGCTTCACAAACGCTTCTGTTCCTGAACTATTGGGTTCCCAAGTGGAAGTCTTTGGTAAAATTTTGCTTCTGTTCTTGAAGTCCACATTGGGGGAAGAACCACCCAGATGGTCACTCCACAGAGACAAGGATGCAATTCCCTAAACTGTGGAATGAATTAAATTTTTCATACATACTGTCATATACACTAAACTCTACCACATAAAACTGAATGATCTTTCTTCAAAAGAAAAAGCAATCAGTATTTTCTGATTTTACTTTCTTTTCCTTGTTTCTTGATGGATTTCCCTCATTGCTTTCTGTCTGCGGGTCATTTTTGAGGCTTTATGATTTGGTATTTAGGAGCTAAATTATGTTTAAACATCAATCTTTTAAATAGAAGCAATACTCATAATCAAGATTGTTGCAATTACTTCTGCGCAAATGTTATCAGTAAAGAGGGACAAAGGAAATAAATCGTATGAGGAATTGATTGTACCCATGCCTGTTGATATATTAAGGAGTATAATTCTGATTTTTATAACGTTAAAAAAATCGGATGGGTTGAGGAAGTGTTCAATATTTGATCTAACCTAAGAAAAGCCAACTGCAGTGAAAGATGAATGGTAAAATATCTAGGATAGAGATTATACATATATATCATTTACTGTACATTTTTTCAAATTTTTGGAGAAATTAAAATGTTTATAGTCAAAACTTTGCAAGACAAAAGAAAAGGACAATAGTGTGCCTGTAAATTTTTGATTAAAGAACTTATAACACAATATATATTTGTATGAATTTTAATATGGCTACACTTCTTAAATCCTCTCTCTCTTTCTCTCTCTTTCTCTCTGCTCCTTTGCTTATTTTTTTTTTCCCATAAAGCTTCATTCTGACTTAGACAAAGGAGAGGGCACCGTTAAATACACCCTCTCGGGAGATGGTGCCGGCACAGTTTTTACCATTGATGAAACCACAGGGGACATTCATGCCATAAGGAGCCTGGACAGAGAAGAGAAACCTTTCTACACGCTTCGTGCTCAGGCTGTGGACATAGAAACCAAGAAGCCCTTGGAACCTGAATCAGAATTTATCATCAAAGTGCAAGATATTAATGATAATGAGCCAAAGTTTTTGGATGGCCCTTACGTTGCAAGCGTTCCCGAGATGTCTCCTGTCGGTGAGTAGGCAAATGAAAATTCTGTCAGCTGCTATGAGAATTTTCCAGCATTTAGCGTTTTCAGATGGACATAACTATCTTATTTGTAATCAAAATGATTATTCTTAAATGGAAAACATATCAATATTTTTCAAACTCTTAATTTATTTGAATTCATCTGGACTAGTAGATTGCATTTATCTTTTAAGTGTAAATTTTATTTCCATTGAAGAAGTTGCTACAGAATTAAAGTCTGTACAGTATCAAAGATAACTGCTGCATAGCATCAAAAAATACTAATATTGAGCTCAAGTAAAGTTACCAGATATGTATTCCATCTGACCTTGAGTGCTCTCTAGCATTGTTTTGCATTTTGTAAATACCAATAGAGATTCCAGAAGTCTAGACTGATACCATTGGGCGTGTAAGCAAGCCTTCCTTAGTAGTCAGCCCATCAAAACACAAAGCAAATACTGTTCTGAAGTCAGAAAAAATATACAGTTATACTATGATGATATCATTCTTAATAATTTACATGTATCAAATGTTGATATTTGAATAATCTTAAATGTAGTGAGTCTTTTAATATATACTATCAGATTTAATAAGTTAATTGATCCAACTTTAAACAATTTTGATTTATAATTCTTTTTCTTTAGTCATTATCATCCATCTCTTTTATTTCAAAATAGCCTCTGTTTCCTATCACATTTGGAAGATGAAGTCTTTACTTACACATGGTTAAAATCACTAACTTCCGTGTGAACCACTGCTACTGTTTCCTAAAACTGGCATTTCTCAGGGTGCTTCTCTACTCTTACAACTGTTCAGGACAGGTGAAGTTTGCACATCCAGGGGGAAACAGGTTAGTGGCTGAACAAGTTGTCATTTAAATTCACTGCAAACACATTGCAATTGTATATGTGACTTTATAGGTCAAAGGCCATACTCATCCACTGATCTAAGAAGTTAGCTGAAAGTAGTTCACTCGGATTCAAGTTTTAATGTGTATATTTAGTACTGCAAATCTCATACCTTCTGATACATTTTTGAGTTGCTTGTTATATGCAGCCATTTCTGGAGATTTAGAAGTGCAATTGGGAAGAACCTTATCTGATTAGAAAGTAATTCTAAAAAATGGGAGAAGATATTTTTAAACTTTGATTTTATAAGGACAAAAAAGTAAAAGACATACAATTTGAGGGAAAGACATTTACATAGGCAGTAATATTTAGCGTGTAATCTTACCCAGCGATTACTAGGTGTAAATTAGAAATATCAACATCAATGTAGGACCCTGAGTAATTCTTTAATACTAATACAGTATCTCTAAATCAAACACACATATTTCTTTCCATTCTATACTAGAGAATTCCGTCTTAATAGATAAACAATCAGGATTTTCATTGTGTTTTTGGATAAAAGTTATGAGTACAGATCTAAAGCCCTTATATAAGAAGCTTAGAGGTAATGATCAAAGAAATCAACCTAGAACATCAAGAAAAAGACAAGTAAGTGAAAAACCATATGGTCCCACTTTTTGCAATAGTAGGGTAGGGCATGATTTATTATCCTACAAGGACATAGCTGTTTAAAATACAATGTTATATGCCATCACTGGAAGTTCTTCTTGGTTATTCAAGAGACACTAATAAATATTTAATTCAATGTTCAATGTAGTTCTCTTTAACATTTTCGGTAACGCAAGAGTATTTTCTTTTGAATCTGAAACCACATAGTACGCTGTGAATTAGCCTAGGTATTCTCAGAGTGTATTTGCATAATGTGCTCTTTTCAAGTGAATCCAAAGAGTTATAAATACCTGCTTTGAATTAAATGTTAAAAGTAAAATATCTACTATATATTACTTTTGCCTTTCCTCACAAGTGTACTCATATTTACATAAAACGCTGGGAAGCCAGCTAGAAATATGGCACCTGTTATTTGTGCTTTTCCTTTACCAACCTAACACTACCAACAGCTGCTGTTTGTCCACAGGTTGTACTCACTGTGTTTTCCTGGAGAATTTTAACTTCTTCACAAGTACACCTTCTTACCAGATGGCAATGGTCCACTGCTCCAAACTAAGAAAAGATTATAAATTTTATTAAATCTTTCTCTTCATTCTTTTGCATCATTTTCTTGGAATATTAAAATGCTTTTTCCTCAAGACATAATTTACTTTGGCATGCTATATCGACAGTCCAGATATTATAGAAATACGTTCATTTTCTCTTGTAGGTTTCTTTGTTGGAGACATTCTCTATGCATTATTTTTCTTTCTCCAATTATTTTTTTGGTCCAGTTTTCAATAAAAAGGAAGGACCAATCAATTTAGAATTACATATAGAGAAGTAGTTCATTATATATTATAAAACAGAAGATGAAATAATATTTAAATGAAGTATCTTATTCAACCATCAATTTAGGAAGTATGGATTATCCACTGAAAATATACTTCAAATGGATATTAAAGTCCAAATTCCGTGAAACATACATGTAAAAACAAGTCCTGGTGATAAGCAGAGTGAGTTGGGATTTCAGAGGAACATTAATATTTAAGGTTGCAACAAAATGTAATGCATTTAATTCCCTGATATGAAGAAAAGTCTAGGGAATCTATGAATTGTTTAAGAGAAAGGTCACTCTGTTACTAACTTCTGCTTCATCCAGTGTGCTATGGAAGTAATATTCAGAGATAAAGTGCTTTTACTTTGACCTAAGGAAATTACTTAATGATCCAGATATTCCCCAACTCAAATCTAGTCCCTGGAGGCAATTTTGGACTTTATGGATGTGGTCTTAATTCTTTAAGATCACTACAGTTACAGTGAAATACAGTAATGTGCCCTCTTTAATATCTGATGATTATGCATCAGTAGAGTACGTAGTGTGAGTTACTTTTCTTGGAGTGCTGACAGGTTTCAAGAGTTTAAATCCATATTCACACTTGTATTACCTCCCTCTGCCTCAGCTAAGTAATTTTTAAGACAACTGATTGGATGATTTATAACCATGTCTCTATGAAATGTTTAAGTATTTTGCAACAGTGAATCAAGAGCGGTGATTTATATAGTAAGACTTATAATCTCCTAAGCAGCAGTAAGGTGCCAGATGATCTAAATAGATATTAGTTTTCTCATTTTACTTAGCTATTATATGTACTTGTATGTTGTTTTTTTCTGTTTGAATTTTACATAAAAAATTAATAACTCCCCTCTATAAGAAACGAAAATGACTCTCGGTTTCTTTACAAAATATTAATCACAGTCAAATACACTATTTGTTCTATGTTAACTGCTAGAACATCCTTAAAAATTTAATTTTAGGTTTCAATCTCAGATGATCTTGTTAAGAGCTTGAAATTCATTGTAATTGGATTATATCACATTATGTTATATCATATTTTGAGCATCAGTGGTCCATGATTAGAACAAAAGCTGAGGAAAAGTTATCTCGTATTCACACCATAATAAAAAGTTCATTATAAGATTAAATAAAGATCCACTTAAAGAGAATTAGGTTAGTGACTTAATAAGAACAATAGGCAAGTTCTCCCTTGTTTTTTTTTTTTTTTCTCCAAATTCTATTCTGTTTTACGAATGATTTGGAAAGAAATGCTAATATGAAACTTTTGGTGAGACTTTTATTAGAGGTTATTTAATACAAAATGTTTTCTACATGGTTTAACTGAAATAATACTTCTCTAGGCAGAACATATTGAAGATTTGAACAATACAGTAATTTACTGTATTACTTGTATAACTTAGAAACATATATGAGTGCTCAAACATGCTTATTTTTTGAAGTCACATAGTTAAAAAATCCAAAGAACAATAAAATACGAACATCTTCTCATCCCATGAGCCACCCATAACGACAAAGTAGTTCAGGTACTGCAGTAAAAATAGGTAAACTGCACTTCGCTCCTGCCTGTATCTCATTAGCAGCCTTTGTCAGGGACTCAGGAGGTTGCCTCTTTTCTGCACATGATATTCTTCTTGTGCAACCAACATACAATCCTTAAACACAGGGATTTATATTGTAATCCTTTCATTGCATTCCAGCTTCTTTGAAAGTCTTCATATGGCCTTTAAAAAATTCAAGTTCAAAATCACAAAATTGTATGTTGGGCATCTTCAGTTCCTTTCAGTATGGAACAGTCCTTTACATCTCCGTCACCTTAATACTTCCGAAATTTTCTAGCTAATTATTGTTTAAACTACCCTTTGTTTTAGGTTTATATGGTTCCTCACACGTGAGTTAAGGAAATACATTTTTGTCATATTTGTCACAGAAACAATAATACATAGTTTTTATTTTTCATTGTTAAACTATCAGGTAGAACATTATTTTGCTCTAATCCATTACTAATAATACTCATTTTGTTTCTTGGTGAAGAATGTGTACTAGTTATTTGTTGTTGCCTAACACATTAACCAAAATATACATAGAGTAATAAGAATTTATTATACCATAGGAGTGTGAGCGTCCAGGAGTCTTCTAGCAGGATATTAAATTTCTTAAAAGGTTTCAGTAAAGTTGCCAGAACAGTTTGAAGCCTGGTCTGAACTCTTGTTTGGGACTCTTCCATGCTTCCTCATGTGATTATTAGTAGTTTACAGACTGCTGCTGCATGGATCTCATAGGACTGTATTACAACACAGCAGCTGGGTTCCCCATGTGTGAACGTGAGCGACACAATGGAGAGAGAGAGAGAGAGAGAGAGAGAGAGAGAGAGAGAGAGAGAGAGAGAGAGAGAGAGACAGAGAGACAGAGAGAGACAGAGAGACAGAGAGAGACAGAGACAGAGAGAAACAGACAGAGAGAGACAGACAGACAGAGAGAGACAGACAGACGCAGAGAGGGATTCAGAGAGAGACAGACAGACACAGAGAGATTCAAAGAGGCCAATTACTTGCTATGCACAAGAAGAACAGTGGGCAGGTAAGCTTGAGGTGACTTCCAGAGACATTTCTGTTGAAAAAGGGAGATAATGTCTTGTAGGAAGGAGTCACTGC